ACCAATCTCAAATAATATATAGATGGTTAGGCAGTTAACACGTCGTATTGAAACCACTCCAAAATATATGACCAATTAGAAAGTAACTTTGAAATTAAACAATTAAAATTAAATTCTCTTCTCGATGAGTACGTTTATAAATCTCAGATGGTCACCCTCGCTCCAGGCCTAGGGTTCGGCTATGGTCTTTGTGAATTGAATCAGATAGACTTATCTGTTTGGTTCCCAGACGTATAACAGTCGAGAATTGATTGCTCATGTTGCTTCACTTTGGGGGGAGAGGGGGTCTTTATGAAACACTGTGCTCGACTGTTTATTATTAGTAAAATCATTAATATGTTGTTGTTATTTCTGATATATTTACAAATAACTTTACTTATCATTATGACTACTTAGATACATTCAGCACCATATTGTATATTTATGTATGTCTGATATCTTATTTTCTAAGATATCATGGCGTATGTATTCTTTGTCTGCAGGTCACGAAGAGTGACATTTCCACCCTCTCCCACCAAGCCCACGGTGATGGGGTCGACAATGGCAAAAAAAAAAGGCCTTACGTTACACGGCTCGGAGATCTTAATGTTACCTTTTTGTCTTTGTAGTTTTATAAAATCATGAATTAGATTATAATAAGACCCTTTGGCTTGGAGTGTCTGCCGTCGTAATGAGATAGAACTAAGAGGATTTCTTCGATAATAGACGACACTGTTTAAGTTGATATCGTGTCGTGCAGAGAAAAAAAAATGTGATTCTGCCACTTTTGAAGTCACAGTACCTTTTTTTTAAAAAATCTTGTTCTTCTTGTGGGTGATCATCCTCGAATAAAAGTCCGCCAATTCAAGTACAAGAGATATGAAACATGACGTGCTTGTTCCTTGAACAATGTCAATATCGCTTCCATGGACAGGCCTCGATTTTTAATATGGCATCACAATTTCAGGCATGCGGTGATGGCATCATGCTCAGTTCTATGTTATGAGCATTACATGTATATAAAATAATGTAGGCTTATACACATCTTTAAGACGATTGTTTTCAACTGACATTTCCATTGTACAAGTCAGGACTGATTTCTCATCTAGCCAATAAACAACGATTTTAACCAACCCCAAAGGAATACGGTTCTGATTTGGGTATTCTTGGGTTGATCTAGTGATCAAGAAAAGCTCTGGCATTAAAGGTAGGCCTATTATTGCACCCCAGTATTAGGTACAGTAAGCTAATATATCAAATGTTCTTTCTGATCTCATAGCGTACTCAATCACTAGTAAGTTCTAGTAATTTGATATTTAATTAACATAGTTGAAGGAGTGTAAATTTTAGTTCTCACTTTTTATTAACTGATAAAATTTGTGAGATTTATCGACCTGGGAATTTCAGTAAATTAAGTTCAAGAGGCAAAGCTGCATTCCTGGCATTGTTTATTTTTAGATATGTTCGCTTATATTTATTTTTTCATCCCACTTGTATGTGAGTAATTATGCCGCCTGGGATATAAGTTTGGCTAATAATATTTTTCAAGTCGCAGAAATCCCATACACCTTTAAGTCAATAAGAAATATAGGTAGGACGTTAACCCACAATTCATTTCATTTTAAGTCAATATATAATCTAAGAATATTCCTTCGGATTCTACTCGACTTTTTAATAAAAGTGTTTGTATCTTAATGGATCTAAGTCTCTAACTCAATATTTTCTATAATATTCGCAATTAAAAACACAAATTAAAATTCAATATTGGCCCATTTCAATCTATATTGATGTTGTTATGTTGCCGTGAAAATGTGGGATCCTAATATCCAATATTTAAGACACAATGAACGTTTTAAAAAATGGTACACGAGTCGTGCACCATATCGTTTCGTGCGCAAAATCAATGAACAACGAAAAACATATCCTAAATTGCAATGCGAAAGTAAATAGTAACTGCTGATTCACAAATTATAAAAGAATAATAATAATAAAAAAAAAAACGTTTAGACCCGTAGACGACTGTCGTTCAGTTTGGACTGTTCGCGTATTTCACCGAACATAATTGATTTGAAATTACAATTTTTTTTTTAAAGAATTTAATATAAATCACTTTATATACACTCATATATATTACATTAATATGTGATTTTAGACCCATTTATGACACATAAATTAGAGCCATAAGCCCTTTAAGAATGCATCGAAAGAACCCCAATTTAGCACTCAATCGAAAGGCCAGAGTAGACCGAGTGTTATTTATCGGTTATAGTGTAATACAACACATTATTGTGATCCTTGAAATGTCAATGTGACAGTTCAGACATAAATAGGACATGAATGACAATGAAATGGGGTTTAATGTTCTGCACCCACTCGGATAATAAAGACGGGCATACAGGGGAAATTTTGCCCGGACAGCGACCTACCCTTATTTCGATTTCCAACTGACAAGGGTTCTTTTACGTGAATGTGTACATTTCTGAATATTTCGGATGAAATGTAAATGTATTCTTTTGGATTTTCTAGAAGAAATTTTATCATTAAAGATACATTATGGGAGATTTTTATAGAGAGTTGGCCATTCTTGCTATAACAGTTCAAAAGTAGATGATGAAAGAGGAATATATTGAAAAATTCAGTCAAATTACTTTATTCTGAACATAGTTATCATCGTTGTAATATTTGCCTAGAAATGGTAGCGAATTGTGTCTTCACCTTCGCCTACATATCTCGATTATCAAGTAAAGTTTTCAATGGCATACCGAAACGCTTTACACCGGCCTCGCTAAGTACACTCTATCATTTAGCCTCGATCTAACTGACGTATTTTCATCAGGTTACCCATTATTTGATTTAATCAATTAGTGAAATCCTATTTAAATCCGAGCTGTAGCCGAGCCATCCGTGGGTCTACAGAGTTGATTTTGGTCTTGTTGTTTAAATAAAGATCTAATTTATAATTTCTATAACATCTGAAGCCTAAATTAAGACTTGCAATAATCAGATTTAGCTCTTGCATAATGCATGTTTATATTAAAATACAATTAAATTAAACAGATACAATTGACAAATCTGGTGTGACAAATTTATGTCTGATTTGTAATATAAATATTGATTTTAAGATACAAATGTTAATTTTAGTATACAAATTTCGAAATACGACAACAAACGAAGAAATAAGAATTAAGGACTATGAATTAAAAATTAAGAACACTGAATAGGGAGCTGTTTGGTCTTCAAAGGTCAAGGACAATAACTATACGTAATTATCAGGAATTGTTGAAATTCGACTATGTTCTTCGTTTCTCCTGTATGAACAACGCATATAAATATCAGGAAGCCCTTCTCCAATTCCACACTGGGATTAATTTGGCAACTTATCTCAGAACGGAAGACATTTGGTAAGAATCTTTCACACATAATTAACAAGATTTATGTACAGAAACTGTCAGTTGCGGAAAATGGTGTCTCTTGATTTTTGTAGCATTTGATTGTTTTGTTAGGCGTATTATTACCCTTGATAATATTAATAAATTAGAAATGAAACTCATTGTGCCTGAAAATCGCAACTTTTCGTTTTGTTTATTGTCAGTAAATTCACGAATAATCCTGTCACTTAATGACTTGATCTAAACTTCTGTCTAGACAACCTAAACTACAGGCTCTTTACGAATCTGTGCTACCGGATAGCAGTAATACTTCAGGCAGCTTTTTATTTTGCGATTGATTACAACGCATTGGCGTGACAAGAACAAACGTTTTTCTTGCACGAAACATTGTCCAGAGAAAACTATTGAACTTAGACTTGACTTAGAGAATCATTCCAACAAATTATAAGGCTTTTGTCAGAGTTTTTAATTAAGTGAAATGTTTAATCTCTAGAGTTGATTCTGCCCAAAGTTCGCTCTGAAAACCTTTGATGAATATAACTATAGGGTTTAACAGAGACGACTGGGGTTGTTTTCGTTATTTTTTTTATTATAAGAGAAATTCTATCTCCTTTGAATCAGTTCGAAAGTTCAATGATCTGATGTTGTTTTATAACGCCAAGATAGTCATAAATTCATAAAGCAATTGGATATCAAAGTCCAGCCTTTTCAAAAAAAAAATTAAAAAAACCCTAGGCATGGTGACGGTATGTATACTATACTTGTAGACTTTTTAGAGCTCTATGCAACATATATACCTGCCGTCTGCTCTGATTAGTTGTTGATTCTAGGGCCGACATTGGGTGGAAAGGATGTTGACTCTTTTCGGTGTACTTATGGTTAAGAACACTTGGAAACATTTACCAAACAAACAATAGGCAAAGATTTTGGTGTCAGAGTGAGCTACTGGATTTGTACCCTGTTGTAAAATCGATGAGTGTATTTATTAGACGAACAGTACCACTCTGTAGCACTCATTCGGTTCTCTTCTGTATTTTCCCTATTCAATATTTGATTAGCTTATAATACTAAAATGTATTTAATAAACCATATTTTTTCGTGATTGTTCCTAAACGACAAATTAGTCTAAGTAAGTGCATGGGTATAAATATCTATGTATAACTGAATATGAGAACCAATAGATAACTCGGTCATTATTATTTTTGTTTATCTTATAGGCTATCGGGTATAATATGTTTAATATGAATATTATCATTTTAACGCATTCACATCGGTATTAAGGTATCGATATCATTGGACTTTCAGATTTAGATACCACCCTACCCCCCCCCCCCCCCATTACATTTAATTAATACGTTTTCTTTAAATATATAGCTAGTAACTTTTACTTCAGATGATAAGGCATTAAATAATTTCACTGCATGTTAGCGTTCTCAAATCCATCTGTCTCGGTGCTGCACATGTGCGTTGTTTAATGGCATCGCCTCAGCCTGCATACTGATAAATCGTAATAGAACAGTTTTCTTTGTTCTCCATCAAATATTCTACTCGTTTCTCTTTGTATGAAACACCAAAATACACTAGAATAAGGAGTTTTACTAAGAAAATAAATTGCAAAAGTTATTAACTCACTGTTTTCTTGAAATAGAAATCCTTTGCTCGTCAAAATCCCTCTTCTCTGTATGTCCGTTATTGCTGAAAATAGTACGAGAATTTGATCACGTGATAAGAGGCTTATCGCTGTGTTTTGAGGTTTGGATGTTGTTTTTTTTTAAAATTGTTGACAGGGTACGTCGTCTGTAGCACAATCTCTAGATATAATCACCAGTCAGACGTTGACCTCGCACGCGCTGCTAAGTAATAATGGTAGAACGGAAATGATAATAGACAAATCAGGGAAGAATTAGAATTACCTACCTTATTTATGTTAAGTAAAGCTGATTAAAGAAGAAATAACGCTTTGGAGAATTTTATTACGCATACAGTGTTGCGGCTAATGGATTGTTTCTAGGAGAATCGTAACGCGATGCGGTTGTGCATGGTGTAAATGCATAGATGAGATATTCCGGATTACGAGAATGTAGTAGGCGCCATATGTATATATCAGTGCCATAATATTGCACAATAAGACTGGAAATCTCGTGCAACCACATTGAACAAAAAATTAAATGTTCGTTTCAAAATAATATTCGGGCGTCGGTTTGTTTCCAAATTTTTGTTTCATTTTGGCTTAAACTGTCGATTTAAGAACATAATATAATAACGAACAATTTCAAACGATATTGACAAGATTTATATCCTCAAAGGATCTGAATAGAATTGAAATAGGTTACAATTCCTAATAATAGCTACTCATGTGTGTATGCCCTTTGATCACAAAATCACCCAGGATTGCTGGTAAGAGGAATGGGCATGCGCCTTGAAATCTCTGATAATGGATCAGTGGGTAAGGCACTGGCTCGCTAGCCAATTGGTCTCGTGTTAGCTCCCGGTGTTGGTTGAGAAGGTTCCTCGTTTTTTTTCGGCGTGATTTCCCCTACGTTCAGTGTTGCACGACGGAGGGTCTGGCAAGGAACAGCTAAACGAAGGTCCCGTGTACAAGTAAATGAACCCTTGACAGCTGGAATTCGAAATAAAGTGTTGGTCGTACCACGTCTTCATTCGCGCTAATGTAGGAGGTTAAACCCCATTTCATTGCATTTCAATTATGTTCTCAACAAATGGCCAATAATAAAAACAACATTGCTGGTGATATTGTATCTATAGTAATACCCCTGAATTAAGTGCATAATAATAAACAGATAAAAAAAAACGGCAAGAAATTCGTAATCAGCTCATAAATGTATTTTAATAAAGTGTTGTTATCGCAGTCCAAGATAAAAGAATCACAAGGCTATTTTATGGATTGATTCTAATTTGGTTTAAAATGACAAATGGGAAATATTATTGAAGAAGTGACTGGCAGTTTGTTAGCTAGTTAAAATGTTTCATATGAGTCATTGGTTTTCTTTTAATTGCCAGGCTCCATCAATCTACTACTGCAACACGTCTGACATGATAATTTGAGCTGAAGTTAAATGTGTTTTGTGCAGTAACACTTTATACTGACAGACTTCCAATACTATTAGAATATTCGGAAATAGCCAATAGTCAAGTTCATATGTTCCCGAAAAAAGAAAATTTGGATTAAAATCGTTGCCGAAGGTCTTGCAATAAGTACATAATCGAAATGCGTTCATAAATGTTCCAAATTTTATTTCAATCACCAAAGTTTTTGGATTTGATGTGGAAGAGTTTTCACTTCTATACTTCTCGAAAAGATTAGGTTTTGTTGCGCATATAAGGTATATGAAGTTGGTAGGTAGCCTTTCTAAGCCAATGAAATAGTATTTTCGTGCAGAGAAGAGGCGTGCTGGGATCTCCGAAGGAGGATAGTAGACCAAACTTAGGGCACTTTAGGAGACGGGGAGGGGGCAGTACCGGGAAATTTTGGGTTCCGTGGCACAGGCTAGAATCGATTTAACGTGTACCTGAGCCATGAAATACCATAGACTCTTGGTAAAGGAATTATGATTAAGTCTAAACATGAACATAGCTGCAAGAACTAAACGACCTGTGAGTAAAGAAAAACAAGCATCAAAAGGGGCTGGTATTTATTACAAAGGGTGCCTGTCAAGTTTCATTCTGTCCGCTAATGCGGGAGAACTAGAATTGAAAGTAAACTGAAACAACCTCAAGAACGAGAGCACGATCAAGATTTAGACACTCACTTTAAGCCCGATAAAGGAAGTTACTGGTGACAGATTCAATATCAATAGAGTTTTTGGTAACGGTTAGCGTATTGGCCATGAATATTATGGAAATATTATTCCGACTGTGAAATATAATCTGGAAGTCATCCGTGAAAATCAAGGTCGGATTGTGCTTACATGGGGCCCTTGCATTAACAATGATAAACGCACAGATTCTGTACGTATATTGAGTGCGACTGGTTTTTAGTACCTCTGGATTTGGTTGGAACAAGGGAAGGGCAGCAGACAAATGGGGCATAATGTTGTCATTGGGGCATTTCCTTGAGTATTTGAGGTAACTCTGTCGAAATTCGAGGGCACTTTTTTTAGAACAGAGGGCACATTTTCGGAAGGGAAGGCACATAGCCACACACACCCCTATACCCTGGTAGGAAATCTAATCGGATTCGAGCCTTATCAACCATTTCCAGTTTCGTTTGTTTTTGCCTACCCGCCCAGGACGCCTCTGGTGCAAAGTGGGATGTGTTTAGACTGCTAGAAAAAGCGAGGCACGAACAGGGAGAAACTCCGATAATAACAACAGAGTTGTAACCCTTGTTATCAATAATGGGTAGATGTAGATGTTTTTTACCGCGATAAAAATGTTATTAAAAACCTTCTTGACCTTCAACTTCATTGTAGAAGCGGACATTAAATCAATTCACACGTGCGCACACGCACGCACACACACGCACACACCCACGACACACTGTCGACATCCAGGTTGTAGACAAAAGAAATTGCGACCTAAGTGCTAGGAATTCGATGGACACGAGCTTTTGAATCTGCGTTGATAAAGAAAATCGAAAAACCAAGGTCCCGTGTACACGAAAAAGAACCCTTGATAATTGGAATTCGAAACAAGTGCAATGCATGGCGTATATGCCCATCTTCATTATCCCGGTTGGTGCAGAAAAGTGGGAAGTTAAACCCCATTTTATTGCATTTCCTTTTAGCCTGTAACCTGAAGTCACGACTAGGCTATAATTTGTTACCGGTATGCCTCCACTTCTTAATCAGTCGTGGTGCGTTCCATTATTGGCGCCGCGCTTACTCGAGCCTCCTCGAGTGCGTTCGGGTTACCGATGACGTCATTTAAACGGCTTACTCGCGCCAGGCCGAAGTAACCTTCCCCAAGTTCGAATTCGGGCGTTCTACGCGATTGACTCTCGGGTTTTCCAACTCGCGAGTTACGAGAGTTGATTACCCGAACGCTCTCGAGTCACTCGGGACTAGAGTTGATCGTACGAACGTTCTCGAGTAAATTTCCAATTCCAAAATGACAGCGCCAATAGACAGATTTGCAATTTATGCTTTTCTGGAAGAAATATTGAATGAAAATGATGACTATGAAGACAGTGACATAGCTCCAATTATTCCTGCATTAATTTCCAAAAGACCAAGTGTGCCAAAAGTGGAGGGTTTCACTGAGCTTGTGATTAATTTGAATGAAGAAGATTTTAGGTATCATTGCCGACTAAATAAAGAAACATTCATGCTACTTTTGGGAGAAGTAGAAGCATATCTGGTACCAGATGTTAATTACGTTGGTGGAGGTTATGATTCAGTTCCGCCTAAGAAGCAACTACTCGTGTTTGTGTGGTATTTGAGCAACCAATGCAGCATGAGAAATATAGCCTTCAACTTTAAGTTGTCAAAATCTACTGTACATAGTATTGTTCATCACGTAGCAGGAGTTATATCAGCTTTATCATATAAGTTTATTCAATGGCCGAATAATCAAAGGAGAAGAGAGATAAAAGGAAAATTTACGAAAATACCTGGCGTCATTGGTGTTACCGATGGAACACATATAAGAATAACGAACCCAGTTGGCAATGACCGGTCTTACTTGAACCGAAAAAAATTCTGCTCAGTAGTGTTACAAGTTGTGGTTGATGATATGTTAATGATTAATGATGTTTTTGTCGGTTATCCAGGGTCAGCACATGATGCCCGTGTTCTTCGGAATAGTCCCATTTATGAAAAGGCGGAGGACCATCGCATCTTCGAAGATGATGACCACTTGCTCGGTGACTCCGCTTACCCTGTGAAAAACTGGCTAATACCCCCATTCAAGGACAATGGACAGTTGACACCCCATCAGAGAAATTTCAACTACAATCTCTCTAGTGATCGACAAGTGGTTGAAAGGGCAATCGGCCACCTTAAAGGGCGATTTAGAAAACTCCGAGACATTCCATTCACAGATCAGTGAGCAGGCTGATGCAACATATCTGTGAATTCATCATTTCGGCTTGTGTACTCCACAATATGTGTGTGTTGGCTCATGATGACCTAGATCAATACATCGATTTAGAAGTACTGGGTGATGAACCAGGACACCAACCAAACGTCCTCATCAATGCGGCTGCTGGATATCAGAAGAGAAACCGTTTAGTCGCCATCGTAAATCGTTGATCCTGTATTGAAATTTGCTCCGAAAATACAGGCCTTATAAAGAGCTTCACAATAAACTTGTTTGGAATTTATTTAAAACATTTATTTTTAACTTTTGTAATAAATCCGATATTACAATAAAATATACATTGAATAAAAAAGCTAAACTAGCAAAAATGTGAATTTTTCATCCACGCACTAAGATACGAAATACAATTATGTGGCCTAACTGGAACATCAACTAATTCAGAAACACCGTCAACGACTCACTGTTCAACTGACATGAACAATGTTTTTCAACAAATCTTTGAACATGATAATTATGAAAATTAAAATATGAATAAAACAATTATACAATGTTCTCAACGTATCTTTGAACATGATAATTATGTACATTAAAATATGGATAAAAGAATTATACAGTGTTTTTCAACGAATCTTTGAACATATGACCATTAAATAAAATATGAATAAAACAGTTATAGTTTTTGTTATGTATCGTTTTACGTGTACGACGAATATCGCAACAAATTGTGTTCATTCCTTATCCTTATTGCCAAAAAGTGAGAGGAGCTTATCAAATCGCTCCAACTTATCCTGA